GGGGATGTGCCTCTGCCTCTTCTTTAATCGCCTAAAATATCCTCTTAGCCCTGTATCCGACTCCTGTGAGCTGGGGTGGGAAGGGTGGGTGCAAGGGTGGGCTTTTATCTGACTGGGGCCAGGTGGTAGCTTGGCTCCTGCGCAGGTAGGAAGCCTTTCCTCCGAGCCTCCTAGGAAGAGCAGTAAGATGCCTTCGTGGTAACGTTAGATGGAGTCAGCAGTTTCTTCTGGGCTCTTTCCTTCAAAAGCGCAAGAAGCGACGTTCCTTCCCCCCCGGCTGAGGGCTTTCAGAGCAGAAGAGGGGCGAGGAGGTCAGTGGGCATCTCTGGCCTCCTGAGGATGCAGCAGGAGTGATCCTTGCTTGCACGCTGGCATCAGAAGAGCGGGGCTTGGCGTCCTCCTGCACTCTTCAAATTCTGCCTTCAGTGGCCATTTCATAAAACAGCAGCTCAGATGCCTGGTGGTAGATTTAATTTCCTAGATTGTTACACCTATTAAGAGGATCCCAAAGGTTGAGCTTGTTTTGTCTAGCTGGGGGAGAATCTGGGACTGCAGCTCTGTGGCTGGATCTCTTTTTAAGTCAGTATCTCCTCTAGATATGGCAGGCGGACCAGGCTCACGACTGGGGGACAAGGATGTGCCCCTGAACTTTACCAGCTCCAGTGCTGGAGGGAGGTGGAAATGGCCAGTGAGTCTCTTGTGGTTAGAGAGTGGAGTGCACTGGGAGAGGTGGTCAGAGGTAGCACATGAATTGCCACCAACTCTGCAGAAGTGGTTGAGAAAAGCTTAAGAAACCTGACAGGGTATGCTAGCCCTTTCTTCTTGAAGCGGGTTTACAGGCTTTGTGGCTGGCTTGTGTTAGTGTTGAATTTGAGCCAAGCAGTTTCTTCTAAATGTCCTCTGGTCATCTTAACAGAAACTAAACCTGTATCTACTCCTAAAAGTTTAAGATATGAGTTAGCTTTCCTTTTACTGTTCAGGAAATGATTCCAAGTTCTTGCAACACTGTTACTGGGAAAAGGCAGCCTCTTTGCCCACATTCGATATCAGCATAGTTTTAAACTGACTTCCTTTTTCTTCATCTCATGCCAAGTTAGACTTCTAGAATGTGTCTGGTTTGAGCTTTCATCTTGGTTACTAGGCTCACTGTACCGAACTATGGAGTAACATCTGAAAAATAACGGTTGCAATTTATTCTGGAAAAAATATCTTTGGCTAGTAAAATACCACATACTTGCAAATTAAGTTGTTTGACATGCAGAGACTCAGAATCTGTATGTAAAAGAAAAGGGCTGGAGACACTCTTGTATGAGACTTCTGTAGCATTTCAAAAGACCAGTAACACTGGAAGAAGAAACAGCCTGCCAGTCTTTGCATGTGTCTATAGTATTTTGAGGCCCATCATGGAACTAACAGAAAACTTGACTGAGTCAGTGACTTAAGATCAGGAGGCTAATTTGTCTGCAATCTGAAACTAGAAGAGGGAATGTTTGAAAGATCAAATGCTTTGACTTGCATAAAGTTTTCAAGCAGTAGTTCCTCTGGTTGTGGGATTGTGCAGATCGTGTTGCTTTACAAAGAGCAGTTCCCACTGACTGTAAGAAGAAACATTACAACAAACTTACAAACTACGTTCAAAATTGCATCACCAGATAAGAGACAACAGAAGATAAGGTAGTGTTTTAGCATTGTCTTAAGTTCCTACTAATACATCTGTTTTACCGATCCATCCTAGTCCTCTGTTGAACTAGAGTAAATATCTTAATGACTTTAGAAGCAGGAAAAGGTCTAACTGAACTCAGAATTAGTATATGGCAGTTAATCTCTCCTGCGACACAGGGAGACGGTGGCCATGTCGTTTGGAATACTTCTGTATGTCTTAAAGTGAAAAGATGCTCTTTAACTAAACTTGATTCCAAGATACCTCAAGATGACTTCAGCAGTCTTTAGAAAACAGCTGAAGAAGGTTTAAGACTGATACTACTTTCTAAAAGCAAGTGTGCATCAAGCTGCCTTGCTAATTAGGCAGTATCTTGAGGTTAAATGCCAGTTTTCCCACTGAATTTTTCTTGATGGGAAGATACTGCCATTTTGAGGGTTATTCTTGCCCTCTGAGGAAATGTGGAAAAACTTGTAAGCCTTTGTGTAAAATAAGTCTTGCATCAGGGTGGAAACAGGCCCCGCTGCTATGGTGGTTTTCACTTACCTATATAAAATCACTTGCACAATAACCATGTGGTCTTTACCAGAGGACTTCAGCTACAAAATATAGGGCATCATGTAGTTGATCTTAGACACTCTTAAAGCTAGCTGTAAGCTTGTTGGGAAGCTTCCATTGTATATCTCGGGTAAATCAACAGAAATAAGGGACAAAACATGCTCATAAGAGTGGAATGGGAAGATTCACTAGCCAAGTATTTTCTGGTACTGTCTAGTTCTGCAAGTCATTATAAGGATTTAAATGAGCCACTGCATTAAGGACAGCACTTGCCAACTGGAATTTCAATGGGTTTTTGGACTACCAACCCTTTATTCAAAGCAGGAAT